GTGCCCGGAAGCTGGGGATCTCATTACCTCTGTTGCCCCATCTGCCGCTGGGAGGACAGAGCACTCCGTTTCCTGGCTGGCTGTGCTGTCTCTGTTGCTGCTGCTGTGTCTCAGGTGACCCCTTTCATGTCTTCCTTCTCCAGGAGCTCCCCCCAGCCTCCTGAACCCCATCAGTCCCCGAGCATGGCACCCTTCAGGACAAAGGCCCAGCCCTCATGGTTTCTCCCCACCTGACCCCCATCTCCAGCATCCCAAATTCTGAGTTCCATTCCTAGGGGACTTCTCACAGTGCCCCAAGGTGGCCATACTGGCATGCCTTCTTCCTTTTATCAATGCTGTTGCCTCTGCCTAGAGTTATTTCCCTCACCTCACCTTCAATCTGGCAGCCTCCTACCTGTCCTTGGAAATTCCCATTGGATGTTGCCTCCAGGATGCTCTCCCCACCCCCTTCCTCCTAGTGCCCAGTCCCAGCCAGCGCCCTGTGCCAAAGCTCCAAGCCCCTCCACTGGGCAGTCGCTTAGGGGAAAGGTGGGGTATCCTTCCCTGCACCTGCACCAGGCACATGTATGTTGAGCACTTGTCCTTAGTATCCTAGTATCTGAGTGGGGTAAGCCTGAATTCAGAGGAAATTAGGAATACAGTAGCTTTAGACCTACTTCAAACATGGGTATTTTGTGAGTAAATCAATTGATAGGTTTGGAAGAAAGCTTGTTTATTTTCAACTACTCATAAAGTTATCTGCCATTTGGCCATCTCAAAACAAGCTAGTGTTTTGAAAAACTGGAGAGAGCTTTTTAATTACAAAATGGATAGAGCAGAAATAGTTAACTAGATACGTCCTGGTTTTAGTGTATGATCGATTTGTCAAATATTTAAAAATTAATTTTCTTGCATTTTAAAAATCAGTCGTACCTCAGTTTTTTTTTTGTTTGTTTTTTATTTCAGCATATTATGGGGGCACAGATGATTAGGTTACATATGATGCCCTTGCCCACCTCCACCCCAGTACCTCAGTTTTTTAAAAATGTATAAAAAAAGAACAAATTTTACTAAAAAAGACATGCAGATGGCACATGGGTACAAGAAAAGATTCTCAGTATCATTAGACTTTAGGGAAATGTAAATTAAAATCACCATGAGATACTGCTACACGCTAAACAGAATGGCTAAGATTTTAAAAAACTAACACTACTAAGTGCTGGAGAATGTAGAACAGTCGGAACTCTGGTACATTGCTGATGGGAATGCAAAGTTATACAGCCACTTTGGGTAATAGTTTGGCAGTTTCGTGAAACATACATGGGCCATACAGCAATTCCACTCCTAGAAATTTACCTAAGAGACATGAAAACATGTCCACACACAGACTGTAGATGAATGTTTATAGCATCTTTATTTATAATAACCCCAAACTGAAAACAACCCAAATGTCCTTCAGTAGGATGAATGGCTAAACAAATGGTGGTGTATCCATACAATAGAACACCACTTAGCAATAAAAAAGAATGAGCTGCTAACATAGGCAGCAACATGCATCAGTGTAATGACAGAAGCCAGGCTACATCCTGGGCGTCCTGGAAAAGGGGCACAGATCATGGCAGTGGTCACTGGGGCCCGTGGGGAGGGCTGGACCGCAGGGGGAGAGCCAAGAGAACTCGCGGGGAGATGGAAATGTTCCGTGGCTTGAGATGGAAGTGGCTAGACAACAGCATACATTCGTCCAAAGTCATCTAAGTGTAACTTTGTAAGGGTGACTTTGCCTGTGTGTAGATTCTATCTCAATGTAGAAAGACAGCCATCAGTAGTTCTGCTGCTAGGACGACTGCAGCACCTTGCTCAAAGGAATCGGAAGGCCACGTTGCTCTGACACCAGTGGTTCATGGAGAGGGAACTCAAAGTGATGGCCTGTCATGAGCCCCCATGTAGCAATTTCGTTTACCAGGGGACAGCAGGGCTGATGGTGCTGGAGTATCTTAGCACCTGCTGTCTGGCCCACTCCCTTTTCTCATTGTCCTTGTGCTCAGCCAGCCTGACCCCTGTCCCCAGCAGTGGTCATATGGCCAGCACAGGCTCCTCTGTGGCCTCCAAGACCAACTGGGAGCTTGCATGGAAATCTAAACTGTGTGCTTACTGAAACATTCTTCCTATGTTCATCGCTGCTTTTCAGATTTCAAGAGTTGTCATTCAAATAAGAATAGCAGCTACTGTGTGCTGATGCGTTGTACCAACACATGACTCAAGAACTAGATCCTTTTCTTTTCCCTAAATCTTTTCCCAAGGGTTCTGAAAATCAAAGAGGTAGGCAGGTTTCTGGAGAGCCGAAACACATGTTTTGATGGTGATTGCTGACGTGAGTACCGCTGGTGGTGGGGAGGTGAAAACCAGCTCGGCATCTTGCGTACATGTCAGCTGGCAAGGCTAAATTAGGCTGTGATTATCTTAGCTCCTCTTGCCACCAGCTCAGCAATACTGAGTTGTGTTTTGTTGGGTATTTTTTTCATCCTGCTGTAAATTTCAAAATGACAGCAAGGCCCCATTTTAAGGGAAGTGAACACGTGCTGTCACTTCCAATGAGTTGTGAAAATGCTCGCTTCTGCCTTCCTAAAAGGGGCTGCTGAAGTATGGGGTTGAAGCTCAGGTTCAGCTCTGTGTTTTGAGGAACTGCCAGGCCACACCAGGCTAGGGAGGGGTCTGTGGAAGGAAGATCAGAGAGCTGTTCCCACACTTCAGCAAGCCTGTGGAAATCTCACCATGCCTCTGGAGAAAGCTGCCCAGGCCAACCACCCTCTAAGCCTCTTTGCTTTTCACTAGGATTTGGTTCCCGTAGGAATGAGGTCATCTCAGCCTGTCTAGAGCTCACCTTAGGGACTGCCCTTCCTCCAAGTGCTGCAGCACCCCCTCTCCCCTTGCGCATCTGCGCAGGGCTTGTGTGTCTTACCCCTTTGCAAGGTCTTACGCCACTCTGTCCCACCTCCTCCTAACAGACACTCCCGTAGCCCTTTTCCTCATCCGGCTAACTCAGCTCAGGACAGAAGCTCAGGTAGTTCGAATTGTTCATAAATCAGAATTAAACAGGCTGCACCGATGGTCACTGCAGAGACACGTCTATACCCTTTTCTGCACAAGCAGGCACTTGGCCCCTCCTGTTCTCAGGAACTTCCAGGTTGGCTCTAAACCGATAAAATGCCGAAATGATCAGCCAGGCAGAGACTTTTAAAAAAGGTAAAACCGACAAGGGGTCAACTAAGATTTTTGAGGACAGTGGGTCCTCTATTATATTTTCTAGGATGAAAATATAACAAATTGTTTTTCTGTCACATTTCCTCTGGGTGCTCAAGTATCAGCTACCTTGTATCGTTTCAAATCAGCAGCTCAAAGAATGAAACATGTTGAACATTTTAATTTTCACCCCAAATTAACCATTAACATTTTCTCAATTATTCTATTATTACTTATAATTTAGATGATCTAATTTCTCCTTTCATATGTGGGGGGAGAAAAGTAAGTTGACCTTTGAACAATGCAGGTTTGAGCTGTGTGGGTCTACTTACCTGTGGGTATTTTTTTTTCAATACAGTCAGCCCTCAATATCTACACGTTCCACATCTCTAACCAGATGCGGATCCGAAATGTGGCACTCGCAGGATGTGAACCCACTGATTTGGAGGGCCAACTTTTTGTATGTGCAGGTTCCACGGGGCCCACGTGGCACTTGAGTATGCACAGATTTTAGTATCCAAGGGGGATCCTGGAACCGGTTCCTCGTGGATACCGACAGGCAACTGTAGTCAAAACTCACCTTGGGTGCTCACTTTGGCACCACATATACTAAAATTGGAACGATACAGAGATTAGCATGGCCCCTGCACAAGGATGACACACAAATTTGTGAAAATTAAGAAAAATAATATTAAAAGAAAGACTCACCTTGGCCCTTGACAAAGCAGATAACAGTCAGCTTTGCCATCAAGACGGTCTTACCTGGGAGGCCAGGCGCTGTGGCTCACACTTGTAATCCTAGCATACTGGGAGGCCGAGGTGGGAGGAGTTTGAGACCAGCCTGAGCAAGAGCAAGACCCCCTCTCTACCAAAAATAGAAAAATTAGCCAGGCGTGGTGGTATGCAACTGTAGTCCCAGCTACTCAGGAGGCTGAGGCAGGAGGATCACTTGAGCCCAGGAGTTTGAGGTGGCAGTGAGCTATAATGAGGCCACTGCACTCTAGCCTAGGTGACAAAGTAAGATTCTTGTCTTTTTTTTTTTTGAGACAGACAAGACTGTCCTACCTGGAACCATTTGAAAAATTGCCTTCGGCTCCAGCCCAGCCGGCCACTATTGGCTGCAGGATCTTGGCAAACTATATAACTTCCCTAAGCCTTAGTTTCCTCATCTGTAAAATGGGGATAGTTATTCCTATTTGATAGGGGGTGGCATTATTTAGAGTTTTAAGACACCTAGCATGGTACCTGGCACATAGTAGGTACTCAGTAAGTGAGAAATAGTGTTTATTATTATACTTGGGAAGTAATAACAGCCTAGCATACAATGGATGGCCTTAAATCAGAAGGCTTTAGTTAGATGTCACCTACTCCAGGAAGCCATCCCTGGCCCCTTGGTCTGCATGAGATGCCTTTCTGGGTGTCCTCGACCCTGCACCTTCCCCCATCATAACCCTTCCCAAGCTGGTCTGCCTGCCTCCCCGCTGCCTCCCCGCCTCCACTCAGTACACAGCCCAGAGAATATTAAGATGCACCCTGTTCACTGATTTGTATGTTCCTATTAGTAGTAAAAACAGGGAGGCTTGTCATGTAACAACACAAGTGCCTTTCAAACTATGAGGACAGGGCCATAGTAAGCATGACCCCAGGTGAGCATCAAGGCCTGGTTGGCACTGGGGCCATTTGTGCAGCAACAAGGGGCAGGCTGCCCCAGTCCCAGGAGAGGGCTGGCAGGTGGGCAGCTGCTCTAGGACCTCTGCCTCACAGCTGGTTCTGTCTCCTAGGTTGGGAACTATAAGCGGACCGTGAAGCGGATTGACGATGGCCACCGCCTGTGCAGTGACCTCATGAACTGCCTGCACGAGCGGGCACGCATTGAGAAGGCATATGCCCAGCAGCTCACCGAGTGGGCCCGACGCTGGAGGCAGCTCGTGGAGAAGGGTAGGGAGGCCTGGCTTAAGGCAGCTGCTCACTAGCTAGGGGGTTTGGGCAAATCGTGGCCTCTCTGTGCCAGTTCCTCTCAGACCAGGCAGGAATATTTCTTGCAGTTTGGGAGGGGCTGTGGTTTTTGTGGAGGAGCGTCAGGGTGCCCATCACCAGCAGGCACAGGCTCCATGAACTTTCGTCTCCTTTGCTTAGAGACACAAGACTACTCTTTGCAAACGGCACCTGGGTCTCCTGTTCTAGCCCTTGTTGCACATAGGATGCACTTACACTTGCCAGTTTAACTCAGAACTTGAGGACATTCCTATCCTGTAAAAGCCCTCACTGCTCAGCACCTTGCTTTCTAACACTGAGAGCTGTTTATTTTTAAAAGCTGCCATATAGCAAGTCAGTTTAGACCACATGGTGACACATGGCAGGCTTTCTGATTTTGAATTTTAAAGGGAATAACGACAGGTGTTGTATGGTGGAGGTTTGCCCCTCTCCTCCCTACCAAAAAGCTCAGAAGATTCTGCAGCTTAGTTACAGGACACCGTTGTGTGGATAGGGACTGTGGTTAGGACATGCTTCCCAGCAGTAAAGGACCCATTATGGGGTCTCCTGGGACAGAGCAGATTAGTAGAGTCTCCCAGAGTGTGTTCTGGGTCAGGCTCTTCTGCCATGACTGCTGTCCTCAGATGAGCCAACCAGGGGGAGCCAGGCCACTGGACAACAGGCCAGCTGCCTGTCCTTCCCTTCAGTGCTGACACAGGCTGTGTCGAGGGCCCAGCACAGTTGTTGGCACAGGGTAGGAGCCCAGGTTGTGGAGCAGGCATGTGTGGGGGAGGAGGAGCCAGGGATAGGCCAGCTCCCTCAGCCGACGGTGGCTGCTGCTGCTCATTTCCACCCGCCCAAGCCCCCTCTCAGGATCCAGCTGTCAGTGCCATCCCGTCTCTTTATTCAGAACTGGAGGTTTACGAAGCACCCTTGCCACCCTCACTGGACAGGGAGCATGCTCCTTTTGCGGACACACGGCTCAGGGGTTCAGAGGGGCTAAACTTATGTGGCCACACTTCTGCCATCCCCAAGCCCCAGAGGTATGTGCCCAGAGGGTTCCCACTACCCCGCCTCACACCTCCCTACCCCGCCTCACACCTGCCTACCCCGCCTCACACCTCCGTGTCCTCACTGGGCCCACACAGGCCCTGCCCCGGTGTGCGCCCTGAGGACCGGCCAGGTCTTCTCATTTTTCACCCTCAGCCCTGACATAGCTCCCTCTCCCCCTCGAGCCTCACGCCACCCCACCCTACCCGCTACACCGAAATGACAGTCAGATTAACACCTTCCTTCCTCATGGACTGAGAACAGTGGGTAGGGAGCGAGGTGACTCAGCTTCCCCCAGCCCCCATCGAGAGTCTCCATCTGGGCCAGAGCAGGTTCCTGTGTCCCCTCCCCTTCATCCCCCTGGACAGGGCTTCCATTCTGCTGAGGAGACCGTCCCCAGTCCCACAGGCATTCTCAAACTTAAGCCGAGCTCCTGGGAGTGAGCAGAAGTGCTCCCGCAGGGGGAGACAGCACAGGGTTGGCGAAGGGCCACCCTGGGAGGCGAGGTGTGGGGTGCCGAGCACTGGGAGAGGGGTCAGCTCATTTCAGAGGGTCCCCCCTTCTCTGGCCCCTTTAACACATTGCCACACTAGAAAAAAAAATTTTTCCAGAAAACTATATAGCAACCAAAAAAAAAAAAAATTCTTTTTTCCCTTGGGACCACGGTGTTTTATTATGAAAATAGAATAAAAACTTTGAAAACAAAACGATCCTATTCAAATTTAATGAAAAATTTGTTATTTTTTTGTTTTCTGTGCATGAGTTATACGCAACTTGAAAAGTGGTTCTCGCGGCTCCCAAGGTGAAAAGACGTGTGAGTTACATGTGCTTCACCAGGCCCCGGGCTCAAAACTGGCGTGAGTTAAACACAACTCACATGGCAGTTAATGTGTTAAGCAAAGTTAGACTTCTAAGATGCAAAATTTGAATTTTTAAAGAGCTCAGTGGCTTTAAAAAAAGGAAATGCACATAGTCCCCCTATTTTCCTAGCAAAAGAGTGGCAGGGTGAATTCAGCTTCAGGAATGGACAAAGGCACCGAGCCACTGAGAGCGAGATCTGAAACAACCAGAAGGAACCTCCCAGCCAGGCCGAGGCCTAAATGCCCTGTGAGCAGCCGAGGGGGGACAGGAAATCCCCACCACAGACCAGCGCCGAGTAACCCACAGCTTCTCTCTGTGCCCAGGGCCACAGTATGGGACGGTGGAGAAGGCCTGGATGGCCGTGATGTCCGAGGCAGAGAGGGTGAGCGATCTGCACCTCGAGGTGAAGGCCTCGCTAATGAATGAAGACTTTGAGAAGATCAAGAACTGGCAGAAGGAAGCCTTCCACAAGCAGATGATGGGGGGCTTTAAGGAGACCAAGGAAGCTGAGGACGGCTTTCGGAAGGCACAGAAGCCTTGGGCCAAGAAGCTGAAAGAGGTACATCCACCCCGCAGGCTGCTTCCCTGCCCGGCCTCTCCAAGCTGGCCGCCCTCCAGCAGTGCTCCCTCCTGTATGCCCAGGAATTCCTGCCGGCTGCTTTAGGCACAAGAGGCCACAGCTGGTAGAGGAAAAGCCATTCCTCAGGCCAGAAGCCCATAGTGGCTGACATTTACCTAGGCTTACAACACTGAGTGCTTTAGGTACATTTTTTAATCCTTACCAACCCATTTTACAGACTTGGTAACTAAGGACCAGAATCATACATTGGTGGTAGCTCTTAAGTAACAATACTTTCCCCAACCCTGGGGAAGTGTCTACTGGAGAGACTTAGAAGTCCCTTTGGACTAGTAGCGAGGATTAATTTAAATGTTTTCTCCCTCTTGCGGGGTTTTTCCCCAGACTTGGAAATGATACTGATATCCCTTTTTCTACAAGTAGCAACTGGAGCCATTGGGTCTTATGGAGCCAGAACACACCTCCATGTTTGGGCTGTGACAGGCTCTCCTTTTCTCTGTCTTGGCTTTTGTCACATCTTCTCTCTGTCCCTTCTTGTCCCTGGCCCTGTCTGTAATGAAACTATTTCCCCTCCCACGAAGTCATTGCTACAAACTCCTCTTCCTCTAGAATGAAATCTATTCTTTAACTCACATACGGAAGGATCTGTTAAATTAATACACACACACCTGTGTGTGAGTGTGTGTGTGAAACTGCCATTAAAACCTCGGGGCACGTGGCTGTCACCTGACTCCCGGCAGAGCCCCTTGCTGGTGTTAGGTTTCTCCTTGGGCACTTTGTATTGCTCTTCCAGCCGCCTGGCGCACTCTCCCTGGGACATCCACACCTCCTCCTCCTCATGTGCTCCCTGTCATCTCAGGTGGCTGTCTTCAGCCCTTCCACATGAAATTTTGTCACCCACCCCTGGTGCTCCCTGCGTTATTGTCACACTTAGCACCTTCTCATCACTCCAGAATTTAATCTCTCCTGTACTGTACCTTCTTCCCCCAGCTCCTGAATGGAAGCTTCAGGAAGGCCCAGGTTCTTTTGTTCCATGCTGTGTCCCTGATGCCCAGAACCGCACATGACACAAAGCAGGCACTCATAAATTTTGTGGAGTGAATTGCTGTCATGGGCAGTTGCTGTTCTAGTGTACAGACAACTTTGTACCCGCGTTTCCCTCTCATCTTGACAGCACAAGCATTCCCAGGGGCCCTGTGACCTTTAGTGAGGGCCCTGACCTTTCAGCCACGTGGAACTCAGGAACTTGCTCTCCCTGCAGGTGGAGGCAGCAAAGAAAGCCCACCACGCAGCTTGCAAAGAGGAGAAGTTGGCCATCTCACGAGAAGCAAACAGCAAAGCAGACCCGTCCCTCAACCCTGAACAGCTGAAGAAATTGCAAGACAAAGTAGAAAAATGCAAGCAAGATGTCCTTAAGGTAAATTGTGTGCTTGTTTTTACATGTGGAGTGTCAATGTGTTACTTGTTCACGTGTCCAGCACACAACATGCCTTTGTAACTGCTCAGTTGGGTGGGTGGAGGGATAGACAGCAATAAAACACATCCCTGGCCTCAACAGGGTCACACAACTGAGCACCCTGGCACTTTACCTTACCGTAGCCATTGCACCTGCCTCGGACAAGGGGCAGAACCAGATGCTGGGCAGGCAGGGGGAACGGACAGTTGCTTGTGCTCAGGGACACAGGACGGCTGGGATTGCTGGGGGAGCAGCTTGTGCCAGAAACGCAGGCGCAGAGGGGCATGGTCAACGCAGGGGCTGACGCATAAGCTGGTCTGGAGGGTTGTAAGGACCCAAGTCGCCAGTGGCCTGGACGGCCAGGCTGAGTAAGGAGCTTAGCTGTTGCTGATGGGCCACCAAGGAGGGCCTGGAGCCCGGGGAGGGGAGGACAGGGGTAGAGGGCCAGGTGGTTCAGAAGGGTTGCTCTGGTTGTGCGGGGAGGCCTGGCTGGGGACAGAGACCTGGCGGACGGGATTGGGGGTGGGAGAGCTTATCTGGGAAGCCAGGCGAGGAGGAGACAGAGGTGTCCTATAGCCTCGTCAGTGACAGACCCCAAAGAGCGAGGGAAAGGCCATGGAGCCAAGGGTGGTGGGACGGTGGCTTTTGGCCAAGAAGAAACAGTGAACAGGCAATGTGGCATCCTGGGTGCCCTTCTGTTTCTGTCATGAAAGGAGATTCTCAGCCTTTGTGAGTTAGTGAGAAGATCAAATGACATGACTTTGTAAAAACACTTTGTAAACTGTGAAGTGCTCCAGAGATGTAGGAGGTAATTCTGCCTGGAAGGCCCTAGAGTCACTGGATTTAAAAAGCAGATGGCATCTTCATGTAATGTACAAGTTCCCAGGAGGTGAGAGGCTTGGCCCTGGACTGTGCCCCCCTCTCTCTGTCGTAAGGGGTCGAGGGCTGGAGGGTGTCATTGCCAAGGGCCTGCTTGCTTCCGTGTGAGGAGATTCCCAGCCTGCGCTTGCAGAGAGAGATGGAATGAAGTGAGAGAGGGCTGCACCCCAGGACTGGAGGCTCAGGGGGGAAAGCAGGAGTCCAGAGCAGATGGTTACTACCCACCACGCTTCCAGGCCTCAGACGAGCTGGGGCATCCCTGTTCTGGGAGGGGGGAAACCAAGGTCAGAGAGGTTAAATCACATGCCACCCAGTCATGTGAGTGCAGGGACTTGTGAACCCAAAGCCTGCAGCCTTTCTCCACTGCGCCCCGCTGCTGTGTCGTCAGCGTAGCAAGGGGGAGGTCATCTCCGTGAGAGATCATCACTCAGAGCAAGTGCTGGAATCCTTTGTGGAGCACCCTACGTTGCTGGGTCCAGGAATCTGGTTTGGAGCAGCCCAGGCGCCTCCACTGCGGGACCCAGTGAGGACCCTGGGCTGGCTGCTGAATGGGGGACACCTGGGCCAAGAAGCATGAGGCCCGGGGGGACAGCAAGGGCTTTGCCAGGATCCCAGGGAATCAGGTGCCCAGGAGGCATCTCCACGTTGTGGGGTGGAAGGGAGGGTGAGAGATGCCTTTCATGTTTTAGAACCACCCAGAGTGACAGCACCCATTGGTGCTCTTGCAGAACAGGCACGGGGCCCGAGGCCGGACATAACAGTGTGTCAGGATGACTGGGACACTTTGTAGTAGGCTCCCTCCTGGGCCTTCCCTGCCTCTGTGCCTGGCCAGTGACCTCAGACCGTGAGTGGTCCTTGTGGGCCTGGATTCCTCAGAGGAGGACAGACCCTTCCCACCGCCCTTCTTGAAGCAGTTTCTAAAAACCAGCGCCGACTGGTTGCACACGCACTTTTGTAGTGGCTGGGTAGCGACTGCATCTCGCAGTATCCATCAGAGAGGAACTTCTCGCTTCAGTGCTAAAATATTACAGTCCACACGAGGATGAAGGATGCCTCTCATTGCACCCTTGAATGTTCACTGGGAACCTCCTGTGGGGGATTTACTGAGCAGTGAGGACCCTGCTCCGTACCTGCCTGTGCTGGGGCTCAGCACGGCTGGCACAGGCCGGGTGCAGGGCAGCCTAGAGAGGAGGCACCCTGTTGCCACTGGGTTTCCTAAGGGCTCCCAGGAGGCAACCGCATCTTGAAGGGTCCCAAGACACGGTTGCTCTGTGTCACTCCAATGGCACCCCCCAGACGCTGGGTGTTGGGCCCACAGCTGCGTGTCCCGGGTATCTGAGCCAGGGCTCCCACGCGGGGCTTCCGGGCACTGGGCAGTGTGGAGGGCGGTGGTGGACAGCCACAGTGGCTGTGGAGCTCTGTTTCTGTTGGGGACACCCCAACCCTGGCAGGGATGGCCTTTTTCTGTGGTCACAGAGGATCAAAGTCCAACACCTCAGGAGCCTTGAAGTAGAACAGGAACCACAATGGCAGGAGAAGGGCATGGGGCCGGGCTGGGGGCCCCAGGGAGCAGGGTGGGACCTGCCCTCTTGAGGCTGGGGAAGGCTTCCAGAGGGGACTCTCTGGAGCATGAAGAGGAGTTTTCCAGGACATGAGTCAGAGAAGGGCATCTAGGGGGTGGGGTGAGCAGGGTGGGCAGAGGAGACCAGGGTCCCAGGTAGGGGCAGAGAAGGTGCTCTAGAGGCCTGTGGTGGCCCCACATGTGTTATCTGGGACAGCATAGCACAGTTTCCTGGTGGAACCCTCCCTCATTGCTCAGGGTCTCGAGAGGGCAGAGACTTGCAATAAGTAGGTGGTCCCATCCTGCTGTCCCTCACTTCACCTCACAAGGCCACCGTGGTCCCACCAACTAACGAAAACTCACTGTACACCAAGGTGGGGAGGTTGGAGGGAAGTCTGCAAACATGAGGTCATTGACCTCGAGGCCCATCCCTGCCAGATGCCCCTGCTCACTTGAGCCAAGCGTTAGGATTTCACGCATTTTCTAGCTGTCTCTAGATACTCTTGAGATGGGCCATACCTGCTTTTAACATCTCCTTTCTTGTAAAACCCTTCTTGGGACAGTCTGGGAGGGAACAGCTGCAGGAGGGGGAGGAGGGGGCTGGGGGACAAGGAATAGGACTTTCTCGAATGCTTCTGGCACTTAAATATCAGAACACTAGGAAGGAGAAAGTGTCCCCATTGTCTGATAAGGACAGTGAGACTCCAGGAAAACAAGAGTGATCGCCAGCATTTGGCCCAGCCCTGAACTTGTCTTCAAGGTGACTCACCAAGCCACTGCTGCTGTGGGCCAGGTCCGAGGCTCAAGGGTGACCCAGCACAGCCCTTCCTCACAGGGAGAGAGGCCAAGGGTGTGTGACACACTCAGGACCATGCACATGGAGCCCCAAGGGGACTGCTTCTTTGCCTGGTCTACCTGTTTACACCTTGATCCAACGGAGAGGGCCGATGCCAGGAGTGTGATTTACCTTGCAGAAGTGGAGGGACTGGGGCTTGAACTTGAAGTCTCTTAGACTCCAGAGCTCCTGCTCCTTGGGTTTGGAATCTGGGGAGTCCTGAGAAGCTCCAGGGGAGCGTGGGGTGAGCCGAGGGCTGAATGGAAATGAATCTTCATCTTGTGCCTGGATTTTCATTTAGACCAGAGAGAAGTATGAGAAGTCCCTGAAGGAGCTTGACCAGGGCACGCCCCAGTACATGGAGAACATGGAGCAGGTGTTTGAACAGTGCCAGCAGTTTGAGGAGAAGCGCCTGCGCTTCTTCCGGGAGGTTCTGCTGGAGGTTCAGAAGCACCTAGACCTGTCCAACGTGGCTAGGTAAGTTTCCTTTGAGCTGAAAAACACATCTCGATGAAGTCAGTGCAAAGTTGCTGCTCTCAAGGCTTGGGATGGCAGCATGAATCAGAAAGTCTTTTCTCATTGGGTCGGTTCTCCTGCTTTTCTGTCATCTTGATGCCCAGGGAGGGCCCTTCTGCTGGGCCCGTCCGCAGCTGCAGGCATGGCCGACCTGTGCGGTGCCCTGCTGCCTGTGGGGCCTGGCTGCACTAGCTGATCGCTGGCCCGAGCGGATAAGGCCAGGCACGCTCTGCCAGCTCTGCTCGTGGGTCTGGGCAGGAAGGAAGGCCACCCGTTCTGGAGCTGCAGCTAGGACCAGCCGCAGCTGGCGTATCTGAAATCCACCCCGGGGCAAGTCCAGCGTTTCCAGGCTGGGCGTGCCCTGACCCCGCGATGGTCCATCTTTGAGGCCCTTTACAAGGTCCTTTCCATCCAGAGCAACTTGCTTTCATCTCAGCCCTGCCTTCTTCAGTGGTTCTAGGCCCCGGGCAGCACAGACCCTCCAAGACTCAGTTCTAACTTGTGAAACGGAAGCCGTGATACTTCTTCTTGCTTCCTTTATCTTTGGTCCCATGACACCTTCATCAGGGCACAAGTCCAGGCTAACTGAGGGGACATAGACTTCTGTCATCCATCTATCAGGGCCGCTTAGAAATGAACCTCAGGTCAAGGCTTGTTGTTAATAGGAAATTACATTCCCTTTGTCTCCTGTATAATAGTCAAAAGCACAGCTACTCTGCCACCATTCAATTAATTTGCATGGCAGTCTTATAAACTAGGTGGCACTGTCTCCATCTTATTGATGAGGAAACTGAGGCTGGCTGAGATTAAATGACTTGCCCCGGGCCATACAGCTGGCAAGGAGCAGGGCCGGGCTTGCGTCCAGCTCTTCCATGTGTCCAATAACTTCCATTGCGCGTATGACTGTCTTCCCTCTTTGTCTCTGGGTCCAAATTTCTCCTTTGTATAAGGACACCAGTCATATTGGATTAGGGCCAATTACCCCTCCAAAGACCCTATTTTCAAGTAAGGTCACATTCTGAGGTACTGGAGTTAGGACTCCAGCTTATCTCTTGTGGACAACCCAACCCCACCCTTAACAGAGGGCGTTATGCCTGCTCAACAGAGGAGGACACCGAGGCCCAGCAAAGACGCGTGACTCAGCAGCCATACAGATTATAAGCGAGTCCGTCAGGTCCAGCAGTGGTACATACCTCTCCCCTCCGGGGCAGCTCCCTGGGAAGGTGAGATCAGAGCTGCCAAGCAGAAGGTGTCGCCCACCCGTCTTGGTGGCGGGTGTCCTGCAGCACTGGGTGCTCTTTGCATACTGCATTTGCGCATCTGGATGCAAACCCTCCAGCTTTGCTGACATAGATGAGGGATGAGGATACTTCCTGGCACACTGTAGTTTTCTCTTCCTCAACTCTGGACCTGATTCTGTGGGACCGCATGGAGTGGTACCCACGTGGTCCACATGCCCGTGTCTTTTGCACTGTCTGACGCAGAGCAAAGTTCATTTCTTGCCACCTGGTTTAATTTAAAACTCATTTGTCAAAAGCCAAAGCTGTGGTGGCTGTCTGTCCCCATCTGGGCATATGGCAGCCAAGTGACCTTCTGCCTGAGCCAGGGCAGGGGTGTCCCTGATCTGTGTCTGTAAAATCAACTCTAGTGTGGGCTGCAGCCACTGCTGTGGCTGGTGCCTGCCTTCCAAAACAGCCATGCTTCTCTCCCTGGTTTAGCTACAAAACCATTTACCGAGACCTGGAGCAGAGCATCAGGGCAGCCGACGCGGTGGAGGACCTGAGGTGGTTCAGAGCCAATCATGGGCCAGGCATGGCCATGAACTGGCCGCAGTTTGAGGTAAGAGGAGGCTGCACCCGTGACCCCATTGGCCTGGGAGGGGACCTGGGTCCACAGAGTTGAATTATACAATGTCTTTCTTAGCTGGGCGTGGTGGCTCACACCTGTAATCCTAGCACTCCGGGAGACTGAGGCAGGAGGATCACTTGAGGTTGGAAGTTCAAGACCAGCCTGAGCAAGAGCGAGACCCTGTCTCTATAAAAATAAATAAATAAATAAATAAAAATAGAAAACTTAGCTGGGTATGGTGGTGCAGGCCTATAGTCCCAGCTACGTGGGAGGCTAAGGCAGAAGGATCGCTTGAGCCTAGCAGTTTGAGGTTGTTGTGACCTAAGATGGCAACACTGCACTCTAGACAGGGCGACAGAGCAAGACTCTGTCTCAAAAAAAAAAAAAAAAAGTCTTTCTCATCCTGGATTCTATGTTGGGGTTTGCCCTGGTTACTAGGCAGCCTTTATGCATAGCTACAGTACAGACGAAGTTGGTGTTTAGAGTCCCAGGAGTCTTCAGGCATTACTGAGGCCTTCTGAATCTCTAGTGATGGTACAATTATGTTCTTTCTAGTTAAGAACATTTGACTGTCACTTGTTAACCATTGGCATTCCCTTCCCTCCTAGTGAGTCACAGCAGCTGCAGGACATGTAGGACCTCAGGTCCCTGTTCTACCCTACCCTGTGGGATGGCCAGGAAGGGGGCAGCCACAGTGCCCCCAGGCCACGTGAGGGAGGCAGTCCCAGTGGGCAGCCCTCCTTACCCTTCACACAGGGGACTTTTCCATACTCCAGCCATTAGATTCAATTAATCTTGCTTCAGAATGAACTTTCCTTTTTGTGGGTCTAAGCTTTCTAATATCTACAAAATCCGAGGGCTTGGGGATCTCAGAACTCATCCAGCTCTACGGTTGGGTCACCAGGCCCCACCTGGCCCTCCAGTGGTAGCATAGAAGGCAGAGGCCGAAAGTTTTGCCATGTCCGTTGCCTTGTGACAGAAGCTGAAGCATGCAGTGTCTGCCGACCCAGGCAGTGAAGCAAACCATTCGCCCTTTTTTGTGACTCGGCTTTCTTGTGCATAAAATGGAAATGACAGCAGCACCCACCTCCTCGGGTTGCTGGGGAAGACCCTGACCTGGCGCATGCGGGGCGATTGGCCCAGGGCCTGGCCCGCTGAGCAGTGACTCTTGTCAGACCCTCGCCCTGGCCCCGGCCCACCACACAGAAGCCTCTTTGGCTCCTTAGCTGCGTTTTTGTCAGTCCTCACACTTGGGCTTCTGTTTTTTGGACCTTCACAGGAAGATTTCTCCAAATGGCAGTGTGGGCTCCTGCAGCTGGGCACCCCTGCACTGTCCTCAGAACTTGCTCCCAGCTGAGGCTGTAGAGCAGGCTGTGCCCCTTCCACAGGGGGCCTTCCTGAGTGGCAGGGCCCCTCAGGGACAGCACAAAGCCCAGTACATCAGCACAGAAGCGTGCTGATGTGTTTTGTGCACAGCAGGTGTTTACTGTGCCTAGCATGGCACAGGAAAGCCCCTGTGAATTCACCTGGCTCCCTAGAGGTGCCTGCTGACACGAAGAGGAGAATGGTGGGGAGGAATATTTGACAAGCTGTCCCACTGGGGGGGTGTCCCCACCAGAGCCCACGAGGCCCTTTTCTCTGTGGGTCCCTGGGCTGGGAACCAGCACACGTTTGCAGCTGTTGCAGGACGGGCCTGACTTTCTCTAACGAAATGATTTGTTTTTATTTTCCATGCCACAAGGATGAAGTAAGTGTCTGTGTTCTGGTTGACTCACTTAGTGCCAAGCCCCCTGTAGCATGTCTCCAGTCCCCAGGGTCTGTGTGTGGCTCCCAGCCTGGCTCGCAGCCGTGCAGCCGACGTGGCCTCGTTGTCAGAACTGTTAAAAGCTGGCGCTTCCATTCAAAGTCTGCTTGATACTGATCCCATCCGCCTTCGGAAGCCGCCCAATCAGGAGAGATTTATATTCAAAAGTCACCATGGCGAACTCTGAGGTTCCAATTGAGTTCAGTCAGGAAAATAATTAATAGACAAAAAGATGACCCACATTTGGAGTTGGGCCCAGGTCTGCCACCCATTCTCCGTGGGCAAGTCACTTTTCCTTTCTGGGCCTCAGTTTCCTCATCTGACAAACTGACAGGTTAGACTTGATGTTTCTAAGATGGCTTGTAACCTTGAAGTGCTGTAACCGCATGTGAGCGAAGCTGTGGACTCAACCACACAAGTTTTAATTCAAGTTGTTTGATGATGGGTGGACCCGGGAGGGAAGGAGAATTCATTAAATACGTGTGTGTGTGTGTGTGTGTGTGCACACGGACATGCACGCGCACACACAGCGCTTTTCTGGGGAATCCAGACCTATGTCTTGACCTACATCTTTTGTTCTTCCCCACGCCGTTTTCGATACAGTTGATAAAAACCTGTTCACTGCTAGGAAAGTAGTATTAGGTTGGTGCAAAAGTAATCGTGATTTCTGATCATGAATTTTAAATTATTATAACTAGGCTCAAACA